CTCACCTATGGATTCCTCCTCTCTATACTTTATGCTGACCCTTCTTGCTCTTCTCCTCCTTTAGAGGTAAGTACTTACCACCAAGTTTCTACAGAAAGTACTGAGGCTTCAGCTCAGAGCCTCCCTCAAGCTTTCATTAGGCCTTTTCAAGCAAGGCTGGAGCTCTACCACTTGAGCCACAACTCCTCTTCCAACTTTTTGTTGGTTAGTTGGAGATTAGTCTCTTGGATTGATTTACCTGGGCTGGCTTTGAACTGTGATCCTCAGATCTCAGTCTCTTGAGTAGCTAGGATTACAGGTGTGAGCCACCACCACCCAGTCTTCTTCACATTTCCTTTTTAAGGCTTCACCTTTCCCCACTTTTTTTTTGCCAGTCCTGGGGCTTGAACTTAGGACCTGGCACTGTCCCTGAGCTTCTTTTGCTCAAGGCTAGCACTCGACCACTTGAGCTACAGTGCTGTGCCACTTCTGGCTTTTCTCTTTATATGGTACTGAGGAACCGAACCCAGGGCTTCCCGCATGCTAGGCAAGCACTCTACCACATTCCCAGCCTTCCTCCACTTTTTAAATGGTTATAACTTCTGAATTTATCTCTGTCTCACTTTCCTGGTTTTCTGCCCACATTTCTTTTCTCAAAAAAATTAATTATGGGCTGGGAAGGTGGCTCAGTGGTAGAGTACTTGCCTTGCATGCATGAAGTCCTGGGTGCGATTCCTCAGTACCACATAAGCAGAAAAAGCCAGAAGTGGAGCTGTGGCTCAACTGGTAGAGCACTCACCTTGAGCTGAAGAGCTGAGGGACAGCGTCCAGGCCCAGAGTTCAGGCCCCACAACCAACAAAAAAAATTAATTATAATTATAAAGGTGATATACAGAGGAATTGCAGTTATACAAGTCAGGGAGCATATTTCTTTTTCGATAGTGTCACCCCGTCACTTGCTCTCTGCCCATATTTCTAAACACATTAATCGTTCTTTCAGAAAATATTTATTGTGGTGTATACCAGGTATTGAGGATAGACATAGTTTCTGCATCTAAATAGTCACATTCTTAATTATTTAGTGTGAAAATGCGTCCTTTGTAGATACAAAGGATGGAGGGAGATGTCCACTTGGCAAGTTGATCTAATTCTTCTCCAGAGTCAGGAGACGGATGGAGGTGAGTAGACAGGAAGTGAGGGAAAAGGAGGAGAGGACTAAATAGATTCCTGGCAGAGAGGGCATATGGGCTGAAACCCAAACCAGGAAGGTGTGGGAGAAAGTGGGAAGAGCTGAGAGAAGGCTAGTGGAGTGAGTGGGTTGCAGGAAAGCCACGGAAGAGGAGCGACAGACAAGGCTGGAGACAAGGACCTAGTCTTACCCACACAGGCTTAAAGTGTGGGTAAAAAGCTGCAAGCTTCATGAGATGCGATTATATTTCATTTCTTAAAGATCCCCCTTGCAGCTGTGTGGCTCCAAGGGGTGGAGATCAGAGTTGGGTTAGAAAGGAGTCATCAGAGCTCAAGTGAGCAATGGTCATAGTTTGGAGTAGGTCACAGTCTAGAGGCAGGTAGTAATGGAACCTCTCCTCCCCCAGGATTTAGTGATGGATTAAATGAAAGGGTGAGAGGAAAGAGGTTCAAGGTGGCTGGTTCAGTGGTTCATTCATGGAGGCAAGAGGTACTAGAGGAGGAAAGAGAAGCAAAATGTTGAACATTTTTCAGGGTAGGTCTTTGAGCATCAAGCTTGTACCTTGAGTGAAAGGCCCAGTGAGAAGTTGAGTATGTGGAGCTCAGGAGACCATATGGAATGGAGATGGAAATGGAAATGCATCAGTACAGGAAAATTGCATCCAGTCAGGAAGGGACAGGACTAAGAGAAAGCCAGCATGTAAAGATTAACAGGGGAAACTGAGGGCATGCTGGAAGGCAGGAGGGAAATCAGGAGCAGTGACTCCCAGAAAAGGAGGGAAGAGAGTATCAGAAGGAAAGAGAAGTATCCACGATAAACACTACAGAGAGGCCAACAAGATGAGGAGTGCAAAGTGTCCCATGGATTTAGTGACACAGAGGTATTGTTTGTTGAGAGCCATCTTGGCAGCATGATGGAACAGAATGGGCTGAAGAATGAAATGGTAGGGGCAGAGCGTTTGTGGAGAAATGGAGACTGTGGAGGAGAGAGCATAGTGGATTCTAAAGCCTCTGAAGATATGCTTAACAGCTACAGAGAAGGAACTAGTAGAAAGCTAACAGTAGAAAGGAAAAGCTAAGGAGCCAGGAGAGCTGGAAAGAGCTGATATTTGTTGAGATTTTAAGGCACTGTCGGCCATGGGATCCAGAGGCTAGGTGGGAGTAGATTCAGACATCAAAAGAAACTCTCCTACTTTCTCAGGAGGAAGGAAGAGATAGTGGGTGCTCCTGTAGGTGCAGCTGAGGGCTGGTATAATTATTCTCAGTGGAAGGCCAGGAGATCTCCCTGAGGCAAGGCAGTTCCTACAAGAGTGTAGTGATGTAAGAAGAGTGCTTGAGGACAGACAGTAGAGAAGGCTGGAGTGTTCTTGATGGTACAGAGGAAGTAAGTTGACTAGAGAGTCACAGGAAGGAATAAAGACTCCACAGGAAGTTGGTGACCATGAAGGCAGAAGGAGACTGATTCATACTGGTTTTCTCTAGAGAACTTTATTCAGGGAAACTAGATATTGCAAGACTGAGACTTTAGGTGGAGGGACATGATAGAGGGTAGAGAGGTAAGGACATTTGCTTATCACACCTTCCTACTTTATGTCCCAAATCCATGCTCTTCTTACCTTTTCCCCCAAAGCTGTTCCTCTTGTTAGATTCCCTGTTTTGGTCAGTAACACAATCATTTAATAGTATCACTAATAACAATTATTTATTAAGCACATGCAAGACCAGGTATTTTAAAATACTCATGATCATCACAACAGTGGTAAGAAATAAATATCACTCATTTTGTAGAAGTGGAAACTGAGTCTCAGATAGATTATATAACTTGTACAAGATCTCCAGGTAATGGCAGTCCGGATGGAAATGTCAGTTCGTCAGATTCCAGAGTCCTTTCCCTATCCATCACCATACCACCATCAAGCTCCTTTGCCTTACAACTGCCTTTATTTGAGGCTGTCTTTCCTCTCCACACCCTATGAGCTGTATTTGTTCATTTCTATCACATCCCCTGCATCCTTTGCTACTTCCTTCCTTGCACCTGTCCCTGGCTCTGCTTCTCTGGTTAGGTCCAAATTCAATAAAGGCCAGGGTCACAACGGGTCTTGATTTCTTGTCTTGATATCCTCATGTCGACAACAGCGTCAAGTAAACACCAGGCTTGCTAACTCCTTATTGGCTGAATGTAATGTCTAGTGAGAGATACTTTGCACTGAATATCCTGTATCCTCACACCTCTCATCACAGGCACAGGCTTTTTGTCTCAGATTGTGGCAAACTGCCTAGAAAACGACAGAGGTAGTGTCTCCTTCCAGTGGAGGGCAGTTTTGTTTGCTGTCTGTATAAGAAAGATTCTGCCTGGGGCAAATGATAGGCAGATTCGCTTTGTAGCCCATTAGAAAAGTGTGGGGTTTCCTAAGCATGCAGTTCCTTGGTATATATGTGTATCACCAGGGTTCTAGTCCGGTCTCCCTGGACTAAAATTTGGGGATTAAGAGAAAGGGATTTGAACTGCATCACACAATAACGGCTATGCTGAGAGTAACAAGTCCTGTGACTCTGGCCCCGGAACTTCAAGGGTTCTTCCAACATCTATGTAGCAGGCTAACTTGGTGGTTGGTAAGAATGAAATCTCAGCTCCTTGTGAGTTCTCAGAGACAGCCCTGTGGCCTTTCTCTGGAATAATTGAAGCCATTTCATCTCCCATTCCCTCACCTTGGTGAGGAGACAATTCACCTCCCAAACAGTTCTCTCAGATGAAGGCAGGGCAATGTCTGACTCCCAATGCAGGAGCCCTACCCCAGCACAGCCATGATCCCGGGCCTATCTTCCACATTCGCTTATATCTATGCCCTAGAAATGCTGTTCTCTCCACAAGGTTTGCCCTTTCCCTACATCTGTCTGCCTATCCTCTGAGGTCAGCACCAGCTGAGAGTCCAGTCAGAGTTCTCCTCTACCTCACTGTCCCCTACTCTTCAGCCCTTCTGGCTCCTTCTGTGACTACGTGGGCAAATCCCTTTCTACCTCCCCCAACGCTTCTCTTCTCTATTCTGATTTTCCATCAGCCTCTGCAGCTCCCCGCACACAGTACCACCCCAACAGATAAATGATGTAGACCGTAGGGTGAAGGAAGGTCAGCGGTGTAAAAAGAAAGCTCAAGGAAAGCTAACTGAGGCAACTCGAGCGTGGAGGCGGAAAGGTCTGGCAATCTCTGTGGATGGAATCGAGTTCATGAAGGAGGATCGAAAGAGGGGAGCCTGTAAAGAGAGGCCTGGGGCTCAGGAGGTCTTTGGCTATGGGGGCCCCATTTCCTTCGGAAGACAGAGGCCCCGATGAGAGCACAAAGGTCTGGGTCCCCTGACCAGGGCCCTCACGGGGCTGCGTCCTAGCTACCCCCTCCCGATCGTGCCCTCCGCCTGCTTCTGCCATCAGAGCCTCGCTCGCGGCCCGAGAGCCTCGCATTGACGCGTGAGTCAAGCCTGCGTCACGGCGCCCCGCCGCCAGGGTGGCCTTTCGGAAAGCGAGGGAACCGTGTGCGCCGCGCTCCGCCCAGCTCCGTTCCGTTCCGCTCCGCAGAGCCGGTGCGGCCAGGGCGCGGGGAGGTGGCACTCGGCCCCAGCCTTCGCATCGCCGCGCTCGCTCCGCCGCCGTGCCACCTGGGCCTCCGGGCCAGTCTCCCAGAGCCCCGGAGCGCGAGCGGGCGCCCGGCTGGGACTGGCGGACGGCGGGAGGAAGACAGCGATTGGAGTCGCGTGCGCCGGCGCGCAGCTCCCGGGGTCCCCCAACCCCGGTCAGGGCCTGTCACCGCCACTGTCGGGCTGCCCGTGGAAGGGACTGTGCGCCCGCCACCCGTCGGGGATCACAGCTACTCGGCTGGAGTTCAGGGCCGAGTCCGCGCGACGGCCCACGCGGGACAGGTGAGTGTCTAAGCCCTGCCCCGCTTTGGTTTTACCGGGCCGGCCACAGCAACTCTGCCGTGCCAGCCCCGCCCCAGCCGGGGAGGCCTAAGGACGAGGTGCGAGGCCGCGCTTCCCGGTATCAGCCCTATCCTGCACGGGCGCGGGGCTCCGTGCGCTGCTCCTCTCCCGGTTGCTTGGCGACCGAGCGATGGGGCTGTGCCAGTCCGGCGCATCAAGGGTGCCCAGCAGCTCACGCACTGGCTGGATATGGACTTCAGCTTCTGGGGCTCAGAAGGGCCCCAGAACTCCGTAGGTAACGGGGCAGAGCTGCAGAGGCAACGCCCGCGGAGGGCCTCCTCCTCCTCCCCGGGTCCCGCCGCCTGGAAACGCGCGCGCCCAGGGCGCAGTTCGGCGGGGACTCCTGAACGGCCCCGGGACCCCAGCCCCAGACACTCGGCCTCAGGCCCATGACCTTGAGGATAACATTGGCAAGAGAAACCGATTGCCCCAGCCCAATACGAATATTTCATTTCCAGTCCTGGGGCAGGACCTTCTCGAATCTAGAGCTAGAGTAGAGCCCCTTCCCCCTTTAGGGACGTGCATTTGGGAAGAGATCGGGGGACGCGCACGGGGTGCGCTCCTCCGCCAGGGGCACCACCGCCGAGGAGAGCGGCCGCCGCCACATTTATACCTGTGTGAGCCGAGCTGCCGGTGAGCAGAGGGGGAGGGGCGGGGTACCAGCGCCCCAAGGGGCGCGGCTGCCTGGCACCGAAGCCGGATGTTTCCTTTTAAGACCTAAACTGCCCTGTCAGGGGTCCAAGTTCAAAAGTTTTGAGGCCACTCACCTTATACAGGGTAGAGTCACAGTCAACTAACTAGGCTTCTTCTTAAATTTGATATATTTCTTTGTCGCTCATGCTTTCTTTAAATATCTGTATCTCGATATAGATACAAATAATGCGCTTACATATTATATATGGTATAAATCATTCATATAGATAAGCACATGTCTATGAGTGATCTGTCTCATATTTATGTCATATAGACATATTTCTGTCTATATAAGACAGATATATGTCTATATGTCTGTATGTCTATATGAATGGTCTATCCTGTAGATCATATAAAATGGCCTGTTTGGATTAAGAAGTTTCTAACCAGAGCAACCTTTAGAGGACAGTTCATCTGTGAATGAGAGGCAAATGTGGGGTTGGGTTGAAGGGAAGGAAAATTCTGGTAAAGACCTTGGCCTTGTTAATGTGACTTTGAAGAACTGAGAAGATCCTGTAATGGCTTTATAAAAATTCAACCAGAACTTGCAGGTCTCACTAAAGCTGTCCGGAGCGTTCCCACTGACATCTGGAGAAGGTCAGAGCATGAGGAGGTTCTTGGGGCTTCTTGTGCCTTGCCCTGTGCTTACATTATCCGAGTGGGTCCATCACCTCGACAGGAAGGACTTTGAGGTCACACCAGGTTGTCCTTGGCCACAGCCCATCTGCAGGACTGTCAGAAGCTCTTACTCTTCCGATGGCTTTTTCTCTAATGGAGCAGCTGTGGCTAAGTAGGTGGTTGAAGTTCAGTGACTCTCTGCAGTTTAGGGTGACTCAGTGCAGGAGGCAAATCGTGCCCACCAGCTCCGATTGGAGTTTGTTTGGCCTGAGTCACACACAGAGTCGTGTGTCAGCTGTCTGTGAGTTCAACAGAGTTCTTTAGCAGGACTTGTGAACAGGAATGACCAGAACCCCAAGGGGATTTGGGCTTCCAGGCCAGAGGTGGTCAAGAATCTTCAGAATAGAGCTCAGACTGTCTATCTGCTGGTCAAGGGCCTAGGAGCTCTGACCTCATAGGGAAGGTGAGCAGGACCAGGTGGTAGGGGTTGAGGTACTGTGGAAGGGGAATCTAAAGAGTCTTATTGTGGTCTCAGCTGGGCCCAGTGCTCTGCCATTTGCTAGCCAGGTGCCATCAGGTAACTTACAACACCTCTGGAGCTTCTTGGTTGTAAGGATACCATTTCCTCAGGCTTATTTTAGGTCTAATTTTGGGAACATAGCATGTGCCCCTAGATGTTAGACCCCCCTCCCCCAATTTCTTCTCTTGTAGTAAGTCTTAACCAAAGGCAATTCTTTCTTCCCCTGCTCTGCTCCTGAGTATGAAAGGGGTGTAGGAGCCACTGAAGGTGTTCCATGTAGTTAATCTGCTGACACCCTTAAGCCTGTGAGACTCTGGATGGGGAAGGCCGAGCAGGAGCAGGACTATTGTTGGGGTGAGGTTGCCCACAGCGACTTGCAAACTCCTTGGGAATTATTTGTGACTATGGCCTGTCCAAAGCTGTGGAACCTGCTGGATAGATTTCAGGCTCCTTTCTCTTTGAACAGGTCTTGCTATTCCCTTTCCCTCTGTCCTATTTATAATAGAGTTGACAGTTGTAAGAAAGAGCGAGGCTGGCCTTTCCTAGAGAGGAAAGGGAAAAATGGTGTGGGCCTTTTATTTCCCTAAAGGTTCCTGAGTGTCTTATCTTGTGTCTAGAATGAAAGAATATCCCCAAATGCAGCAAGGATGAGGCCAGACTGCTACTGGAAGTGTGTGTGTGTGTGTGTGTGTGTGTGTGTGTGTGTGTGTGTGTGTGTGTGTGTGTGTGTGTGTTCACATTCACTCTGGAGTGATTGCCCTCCTCATTGGATCTGGAAATATGTTTTACAGATGATGGAGACTGTGGTGAGAGGATTTTAGAGCAGCAGCTCCCTTTTGCCTGTGCACCCCTCCTCCCATCATACTCCTCTCCCGTCCAGCATTGCTGCAGCAGGACAATTCATCATTAAAATCCCTTTAAACTGCTAAGATAAGCATCAGCAGTATTTAAGGGAAGGTGGATTAGAGCTTTTCTCCTAGACAAGGTCTGAGTTATCACTTGCTTCCAGGCTAGATTGCAAGAAATCCTCGGTACCAAACATCTGGAACACCAGGATGGAAACAACAACAACAACAACAGCAGCACACCCTGATATCACAACTCGATGCCAGGCTCCCCTGACCAGTGTCCTAGGCTACCAGAGGTCAGAGGTCCAGTTGGACAGTGCTCTTGGGAAATGCCTTGTGTGTATGCTTTGAACAGAAGAGAATACAATTCTGAGTTCTAGGTGCTTATGTCATCCTTGGTATACAGTAATAATATCCAGCTTTTTATTGAGGCTTATGTGAGGCACTAAGTGCTTTATTCACAGACCATCTTGTTTAATCTTTGCTACAATCCCAGAGGACAGTTACTGTAATCCATATAGAATTTGAGGTTCAGAGAGGTTAAATAATTTGTTCATAGTCACATAGGTAAGTGAGTAGCAACCTGAGAATCAGTACTCAGTTCTGTCAGATGCCAAACTTTATGATCTTCACCACATGATGTAGTGTGTTTCCATAATAAGTTCTTACTAAATGTTTGCCAACAATCTAGGCTCTTATAGAGCGGATTTGGCTAAGCCTCTAGGTTCTGTTTTTCAGGCTGGTGTCCTGAGAAAGGGAAAATGGGCCTCCAGCGATGGGAAATGGATAGAGAATGAACAGAATCAAACTTCCAAGGTCTGGGGGATGGATGTGCCATTTGGTTCTAAGTGGATCAGGTTCCAGCCAGAGATCCCAGGCTCTGTCTTGTGGTCTATTGTCCTATCCTTGTCTTATTCTTCTTGACATTTACCACCCTGGACTTCATTCCTTTCAGGTAGGGGTTGTTGACAAGCAGGAAGAGAAGGGTCAGAACAAGTTGGATGGTGCCTGAGGATTTCTGTGTCTGCAGAATCAGGGACAGCCAGTCACTGACGGGAGCTTTGATGTGTCAGGTTTCTCTGCTGGACAGTGTGCCAGCAATCTGCAGCAGTCTCTGATGAGGCCCTAGACCCCAGAGCAAAACTGCTAACACACCAAGGTTATTTACAGCAGCTGCTGGTGGGGCTACTCGGATGGATGCTTCTTGCTTTCTGATCTTGCCCCATGGAGACCCTGATTTCCTCAGCTCTAGGGAGCCACTGTTCTAGGAAATGTGACCTCTAATTCTTCCTGCTGTCTGTCTATTCCCTGTGAGAATCACTTAACCCTAGAAGAACTGGCCCATGCATGCAGTCCTAGCTTGCCTTCCATCTCAAAACCAACTGAGAAGTTCCTGTAAGTGAGGCTGAGCAACTGGAATAGAAGAAAGAGTACTCCCCCCCTCCCAAGAGGACAAAAAGGAGTTCATAGAAACCCTTGCTTCAGGTGCAGCCATTTTATGGAAACGCAATTCATTGGTAACTCATCTTTCCTTCCATGAGCAAATTGTTTTATTAACAATGGGCAAATGTAGTTACTTAAAAAAACATAGTCATTTTGTACAATAAAACTCACAAGTGAGAACATAAGCTCAGATGCAGCATGAATAACTGTACTAAATTATTCTCATGCTCACTCTCAGAGAATGATTCTGGGTCAAGTGAGTTCTTAGGCTGCCTCAGTCCCCAACCTGGGAGTTGAGATTTAAACCCTGCTGTTCTATCGCTCTTCTGAGGTGGCAGTAAGGTCTGTCAAAAGCCAGAAGAGCAAATGTTCTAGATTTGGGCCTTGGGGTCATCTCAGCATCTGCACCTGTCCTACCCGGCTACTATGCTGCCTTCCAGAGTCCCTCTACCAGTTCATCTGAAGACAAGTAACCTGGTGCTCTACTCTATCATTTCCAATTACTGGTTTAATTGCAGTTTCTGCTGGATTCTGCATACCACAAATTTACCATCTATTCTTTGGTATGCAAATAGAATTCATTGATTTACACCCCAAAATCCTACTGGTTGCATTTTTTTCCTCTAAGATGTGTGTGTGTGTGTGTGTGTGTGTGTGTGTGTGTGTGTGTAAACTGAGAGGATAGGCATAATTCCTTAGCTTTTTCATTCAAAGTTGGTGCTCTACCACCTGAGCCATGCCCCCTTCTGGCTTTTTGGTAGTTAACTGGAGGAAAGGGTCTCATAGACTTTTTTGCCTGGGCTGGCTTTGAGCTATGA